GCGAGTCAGCAATGTGGGGTGGCACTCTGTATGAATCCATGCTTCTTGGAGTACCATACAGTGGTGGACTTCTAGAAACATAAATGAGACTTGTAATTTTTTTTTTTTATTTATAAACAAGTCGGTCGTCTCCCACCAAGGCAGGGTGGCCCAAAAAGAAAGAAAATCCCCAAAAAGAAAATACTTTCATCATTCAACACTTTAACCTCACTCACACATAATCACTGTTTTTGCAGAGGTGCTCAGAACACAGCAGTTTAGAAGCATATACATATAAAGATACACAACATATCCTTCCAAACTGCTAATATCCCGAACCCCTCCTTTAGAGTGCAGGCATTGTACTTCCCATTTCCAGGACTCAAGTCCGGCTATATAAAAATAACCGGTTTCCCCGAATCCCTTCACTAAATATTACCCTGCTCACACTCCAACAGATTGTCAGGTCCCAAATACCATTCGTCTCCATTCACTCCTATCAAACACGCTCATGCACGCCTGCTGGAAGTCCAAGCCCCCTGCCCACAAAACCTCCCTTACCCCTTCCTTCCAACCTTTTTGGGGATGACCCCTACCCCGCCTTCATTCCCCTACAGATTTATACGCTCTCCATGTCATTCTACTTTGATCCATTCTCTCTAAATGACCAAACCACCTCAACAACCCCTCTTCAGCCCTCCGACTAATACTTTTATTAACCCTTTGACTGTCGCCGCCGTATATATACGTCTTACGAGGTACCGTGTTTGACGTATATACTATACTCATAAATTCTAGCGACTTCAAATCAAGCAGGAGAAAGCTGGTAGGCCCACATGTGAGAGAATGGGTCTGTGTGGTCAGTGTGCACCATATAAAAAAAATCCTGGAGCACGCAGTGCATAATGAGAAAAAAAAAGACCGTTTTTTTTTAATTAAAATGCCGAATTTGTGGTCTATTTTCGTATAGTATTTATGGTTGTATTCTTGTTTTCTTGGTTTCATTTGATAGAACGGAAAACATATTATAGAAATAGAGGTCATTTTGATTGATTTTACTATAAAAAGAACCTTGAAATGGAGCTCAAAGTAGGAGAAATGTTTGATTTTTGCCAATGTTCAAAAGTAAACAAATGATGCCATTGTCCAATAAATGTCCAACTAGCCATTCTAATATGCAGTCATGAATGGGTTGATGTTATTTATACAATTATTGCAGTAGTCTGCATAATAGTAAGTCTTCTATTTTTTGTTTGAATAAAAATTCAAAATAGAAAGCAAGAGTAATATCATAGGGGCCTGGAGACATGACTGATGAACAAAGAAATTGTTATTTTAGAGCCAGGAATGTCTGCATTGTTCATTCTGGATCTTATTTTGAAATTGTCATATTTTTTAGTTTTCGTGAAATTGGCCAAATTGCAAATTTCTGACAACATTATTAGGTAGTTGAAATCGGTAAATGGGCAATTTCTTGTACTCAATCGATGGAAAAAAGGGATCTCTAAAGAAATAGCTATGAGTTTGGGCGACTGGAACAATGGAATTAACCGAAAATAGGGCTCAAAGTGGGCGAAATCGCCGATTTGTAAACAACGCCGAGGTCGCTAACTTCGCGAGAGCATAATTCCGTCAGTTTTCCATCAAAATTCGTTTTTTTTGGTGTCATTACAATCGGGAAAAGATTCTCTATCATTTCATAAGAAAAAATAATTTTTTTTTTTTTTAATTTTGCGACACCAGGAGACACCTCAGGATTGGGGGTTGCGACAGTCAAAGGGTTAACTCCACACCTCATAATTTCCACACACCAAATTTTCTGCATAATATTTACTCCACACATTGCCCTTAAATAGGACATCTCCACTGCCTCCAACCACCTCCTCGCTGCTGCATTCACAACCCAATCTTCACACCCATATAAGAGTGTTAGTACTACTATACTTTCATACATTCCCTTCTTTGCCTCCATAGATAACGTTTTTTGTCTCCACATATACCTCAACGCACCACTAACCTTTTTTCCCTCGTCAATTCTATGATTAACCTCGTCCTTCATAAATCCATCAGCTGACATGTCAACTCCCAAGTATCTGAAAACATTCACTTCTTCCATACTCCTCCTCCCCAATTTGATATCCAATTTTTCTCTATCTAAATCATTTGATACCCTCATCACCTTACTGTTTTCTATGTTCACTTTCAACTTTCTACCTTTACACACACTCCCAAACTCATCCACTAACCTTTGCAATTTTTCTTCAGAATCTCCCATAAGCACAGTATCATCAGCAAAAATCAACTGTGTCAATTCCCATTTTGTATTTAATTTGCCATAATTTAATCCCACCCCTCTCCTGAACACCCTAGCATTTACTTCTTTTACAACCCCATCTATAAATATATTAAATGACCATGGTGACATTACACATCCCTGGCTAAGACCTACTTTCACTGGGAAGTAGTCTCCCTCTCTTCTACACACGCTAACCTGAGCCTCACTATTCTCATAAAAACTCTTTACAGCATTTAGTAACTTGCCACCTATTCCATATACAGTGGTTCCTCAATAATCGTCCGGCCTGAAAGTTGTCCATTTCCAATATTTCGTCTAAACATTGGCTCGCAAATGGTCCATTAACTCGCTAATCGTCCTTCGTTCTGGACGCGCACTCACGGCTCTGAGCCGCCTCTGCCTCCCTTCCCAGCAAGTGTGCCATTGTTTACCAGTGAGCAACGGTCCCCTCACGTGTTCATAAGAAATATTTCATAATATTCCATTCATTTTAGTGCTTGCAAGTGCTAAATAAGCTGCCATGGCTCCAAAGAAAGCTCCTAGTGCCAAGCCTTTGGTAAAGAAGGTGAGAAATAGGATTGAATTTAAGAAAAACATCATTGAACAATATGAAAATGGTGTACTTGTGGTCTAACTGGCCAAGATGTATAACATATTCCATACAACCATATCTTCCATCATAGCCAAGAAAAAGGAAATCAAGGAAGCTGTTGTTGCTTGGAGAAAATTGTGGCCAGATTGTGTCCACAAGAGGGATTTTGGAGGGTTTGTGCCTGACCCTGATGAGCCGATGTCCATTGTGAAATCTATTGGGACATTGGGGAGTTCCATGGGGTTGGATGTGAGTTTGGAGGATGTGGAAGAGTTGGTGGAGGACCACAATGAAGAGTTAACCACTGAGGAGCTGCATGAGCTTCAGCAGGAACATCAACAGATTGCAGCTCAGAATCTTGCTGCAGAGGAGGAGGAAGAGAGATGGAAGAAGGTGCCTTCTTCAGAAATTAAGGAGATTTTTGAAATGTGGGGTAGGATGGAAAGATTTATGGGGAAACATCACCCTGAGAAGGATGTTGCAAGCCATATCGGTAACTTGTACAGTGACAGAGTCTTGGCTCATTTTAGGGAAGTTTTAAAGAGATGCCAGAAACAGAGCTCTCTGGACAGTTTTTTTGTGAGACAGGACTCCAGTGACTCTCAAGCTGGTCCTAGTGGCATTAAGAAACAGAGAGAAGAGAAGTAACCCCAGAAAAGCACTTAGTACCTGAGGTGTTGATGGAAGGGGACTCCCCTTCCAAAGAGTAAATAATCCAATCTCTCTTCCTCCAGTCTTCCATACACTAAGAAGAATTGCCAATAAAGGTAAGTGTTATGCTGTTAATGTTTCATCATGTCCCATTGTATTGTTTATGTACTCCATCTACATTTCATGTACAAAATTTTTTTGTTTTAATACTTCTGGGTGTCAGGAATGGATTAATTGTATTTATATTATTTCTCATGGGGAAAATTGATTCGAAAATAGTCTATTTCGATAATAGTCCCACTTCCAGGAATGGATTAATGACGATAATTGAGGGACCACTGTATGTGATTGAACCAGGTGTACAAATTCATTTATCAGTGTGAACATGTGTGTTTGTGACAGTATGATTACTAATTCAGTACCAAACATTTGTCTCAACAAGAATTGGCTATGAAATCAAAAGATCTGCAACAAAACCTTATTATCATAACATGAAAACAACAAAAAACAGAAAAGAATTGGAAAAAAATGATAAATGTTTATTATTTCTGCAAGCGGCAGTGCTCCATGTTGCTGACGCCTCATCATTTAGCAACAACTTCACGGGCTTATATCTCAGTAAGTACTGACCCTATATTTTTTTTTATCCTATACCATTTATAAAAATGTACCCTTCAATTTAAAAACAAAAAAATGATTTTTTTATTTTTCAAAATATTCGGAGTGCTGCGCAGGTGAACTTGTATCTGTTTGGACAGTTTAAGGGTTAATAAAAACTGACATTATATGAAGAGGTATTGAAAGGTGGGCAGTGGGGAAGGGATAAAAAATAGTGACTGTGACCATTACAGAGAAAATTATGCATTATGTGCCTGAAAGGTAACTTTAGATCACTCTTATCCTATGTAAAGACTGAAAATAATGCAATTTTCTTGAAAAAAAAAATCCCAAGTAATCAGCTATGCGCTTGTTTCCTGGAATATCTCGGAAGTAAGTTATTGACGTATTTCACGTTGTATATATTACTGTTAATAATGAATGGATTGAAAGGATTTTCACAGCAAACATAAAACTGAATGTTTTAATTTCAGGTAGTGACCTTTTTGAAGTACTTATCAGTAAGGGGTGGTGCCTCGATTAATGACTAATTCGTTTACTGACATGGTCTTATGAACGGAACTCTGCCGGTAAATGAGGAGAGGCTGTATATTTCTATATCATGGAGCCTCACATTTAAATGCTGCTTCAGTGCTATTCCCTCCTCTTATTACACTACTCCCATCTCTCCTCCCCCATCTATCGTATCTATTCTGGCTCTCTTTCCTTCACATTGCAGTGTGACTAGTTAATGGTCCAAGTTGAACCAAGATGTCATAAGTTTGTCTATGTGTGAGCTTATGTATAATATGCAAGATTACAGTAGGTATAAGTTCTAATTAAAATGCTAGGAGTTTTTATTTTACAATTTATTTCTGCAATTAGGTTGCTAGCAGTGAAGTCAAGAGACCGGAAGAAGTGTTGGAGCGCATTGTCAGTGTCTGGGCAGATAAACTAACCTTAGTATCTCCAGAGGAACGGCGCAAATTATGTGGCCTTGGTCTTGCCCACTTGTGTGGCTCAGGTTGGCCTCCAGTTCTCAAAGTTTGGCCACCTGCTATTACTGCTGTTGTTGAAGTAGTTTTTGATGTAACAGTGGAAGATTCAACGCAGGATAAACTGGTAAGGAAGTAAATTTAGTTTATGTACAGTGGATCCCCACGAATTTGTGGTTCCGAATTCGCAGATTTTTCCTTAGAACCCACCAAATCATTGTTCGCGGAAATTCCTGCAAATCCGCAGATTTTTTTTTTTTCAGCTTTTTTCGTGGCAATATATAATTTTTTATGCATTTTAACACAAAATACTAAGAAAAATATAGTTTAGTAATTTTGTAACATAAATATTAATGTAAATTCAGCAAAATTTCCATATACTGTAAATTTTTACTAAATTAAATCATTACCATATATTTACCATACATATACCAAAGAAAACAGGGTTGCATGAATTACAGTATACCAAAGAAAATGGGCTTGTATGAATTACAGTACATGTCCCTCCCCCCCTCCTCCCAACAAGTCGGCCGTCACCCACCGAGGCAGGGTGACCCAAAAAAGGAAAAAATCCCCAAAAAGAAAATACATTCATCATCATTCAACACTTTCACCATACTCACACATTATCACTGTTTTTGCAGAGGTGCTCAGAATACAACAGTTTAGAAGCATACACATATAAAGATACATAACATATCCCTCCAAACTGCCAATATCCCAAACCCCTCCTTTAAAGTGCAGGCATTGTACTTCCCATTTCCAGGACTCAAGTCCGACTATATGAAAATAACCAGTTTCCCTGAATCCCTTCACTAAATATTACCCTGCTCACACTCCAACAGATCGTCAGGTCCCAAATACCATTCTTCTCCATTCACTCCTATCTAACATGCTCACGCACGCTTGCTGGAAGTCCAAGCCCCTCGCCCACAAAACCTCCTTTACCCCCTCTCTCCAACCCTTTCGAGGATGACCCGTACCCCGCCTTCCTTCCCCTATAGATTTATATGCTTTCCATGTCATTCTACTTTGATCCATTCTCTCTAAATGACCAAACCACCTCAACAACCCCTCTTCTGAACTCTGACTAATACTTTTATTAACTCCACACCTTTTTCTAATTTCCACACTCCAAATTTTCTGCATAATATTTACACCACACATTGCCCTTAGACAGGACATCTCCACTGCCTCCAACCATCTCCTCGCTGCTGCATTTACCACCCAAGCTTCACACCCATATAAGAGTGTTGGTACTACTATACTTTCATACATTGCCTTCTTTGCCTCCATAGATAACGTTTTTTGACTCCACATATACCTCAACGCACCACTCGCCTTCTTTCCTCATCAATTCTATGATTAACCTCATCCTTCATAAATCCATCTGCTGACACGTCATCTCCCAAGTATCTGAAAACATTCACTTCTTCCATACTCCTCCTCCCCAATTTGATATCCAATTTTTCTTTATCTAAATCATTTGATACCCTCATCACCTTACTCTTTTCTATGTTCACTTTCAACTTTCTACCTTTACACACATTCCCAAACTTGTCCCCTAACCTTTGCAATTTTTCTTTAGAATCTCCCATAAGCACAGTATCATCAGCAAAAAGTAACTGTGTCAATTCCCATTTTGAATTTGATTCCCCATAATTTAATCCCACCCCTCTCCCGAACACCCTAGCATTTACTTCCTTTACAATCCCATCTATAAATATATTAAACAACCATGGTGACATTACACATCCCTGTCTAAGACCTACTTTTACCGGGAAGTAGTCTCCCTCTCTTCTACACACCCTAACCTGAGCCTCACTATCCTCATAAAAACTCTTTACAGCATTTAGTAACTTAACACCTATTCCATATACTTGCAACATCTGCCACATTGCTCCTCTATCCACTCTATCATATGCCTTTTCTAAATCCATAAATGCAGTAAAAACTTCCCTACCTTTATCTAAATACTGTTCACATATATGCTTCAATGTAAACACTTGATCTACACATCCCCTACCCACTCTGAAACCTCCTTGCTCATCCGCAATCCTACATTCTGTCTTACCTCTAATTCTTTCAATTATAACCCTACAGTACACTTTTCCTGGTATACTCAAACTTATTCCTCTATAATTTTTACAATCTCTTTTGTCCCCTTTCCCTTTATATAAAGGGGCTATACATGCTCTCTGCCAATCCCTAGGTACCTTCCCCTCTTTCATACATTTATTAAACAAAAGTACCAACCACTCCAACACTATATCCCCCCTTGCTTTTAACATTTCTGTCATGATCCCATCAGTTCCAGCTGCTTTGCCCCCTTTCATTCTACGTAATGCCTCACGTACCTCCCCCACACTTACATTCTGCTCTTCTTCACTCCTAAAAGATGGTATACCTCCCTGACCAGTGCATGAAATTACCGCCTCCCTTTCTTCCTTAAGATTTAAAAGTTCCTCAAAATATTCTCGCCATCTACCTAATACCTCCATCTCCCCATCTACTAACTCCCCTACTCTGTTTTTAACTGACAAATCCATACTTTCCCTAGGCTTTCTTAACTTGTTTAACTCACTCCAAAATTTTTTCTTATTTTCATTAAAATTTCTTGACAGTGCCTCTCCCATGCTATCATCTGCTCTCCTTTTGCACTCTCTCACCACTCTGTTCACCTTTCTTTTGCTCTCCATATACTCTGCTCTTCTTATAATACTTCTGCTTTGTAAAAACCTCTCATAAGCTACCTTTTTCTCTTTTATTACACCCTTTACTTCATCATTCCACCAATCACTCCTCTTTCCTCCTATCCCCACCCACCTATAACCACAAACTTCTGGCCCACATTCTAATACTGCATTTTTAAAACTATTCCAACCCTCTTCAACCCCCCCACTACTCATCTTTGCACTAGCTCACCTTTCTGCCAATAGTCGCTTACATCTCGCCCGATATTTTACATCTTTGCACTGCGGGAGACATAGCAGTACAGTACTGTATTCGGGTTTATCTTTACATTTTTTTTTTAAGGGTGATGTATGAAGCTTAGTTTTAAATTAGATTAGTGTTTCGGGGCATATTTAGGGTTTAAACTATAAAAGTAGGCTTTCTTTAACTGTCCAGAATTTGCAGTAACCCCCGTGAATTTGGGGGGACTACTGTATACCCAATTGCAAAATATGTAATACCATTGCCTACAGACACAACTAAACAATGCTCACTTTGGTACAGGCCCAAGGATGTGCTTAAATTTCATGATGCACGTGAGTGGTGGAGAGCTACGAATTTGTTAATGAAGCATTCTGATCACTAGAAAAAAAAAAAAAAAGCAAAGATGATGAATTGGGAAAAATCATCCATTATTGGAAGTCACAGTAGGCTTTAGTATGGAAGTGCTATGACAAATTAACTTATTAGACATTAACACTGGTTTCTTGGTCATCATGCTCTTTTAACAAACTGGCCATATCCCACCAAAGCAGGGCGACCCCAAAAAGAAATCAGTTTAAGGCTCTACTTGGAAATCACCTCATCACACAAATTAACCAAACAAACTCTCTACTTTATCACCTACTAAGAGCTCCAAAAACTCCTAAATAATTTAAGATTGCTCAATCATTTAAACATTATTTCAAACTTAAAATTTTTTTAATTTCATTACTGTAAATTGTGCTAAATTGTAATACTGTAATCTTTTATGGAATTTATCTCGACTGTAAATTCATTTACTGTAAACCACTAGCTACCTCCGTTGTAATAAGAAAAACGATGTATAATAACAATTTACTACTATAAATATCTCGAGTATTAAGTACAGTGGAACCTTGATTTTCGTGATGAATCCCTTCGAAAAAGTCTGACAATAAACCGAATCATGCGAAAACTGAAGCAATATTTCCCATAAGAAATAATGTAAATCCAATTACTCTGTTCCAGACACCCAACAGACTAGGGCATACGAAAACAGAGGTTCCAGTTAGTTGAAAGCTTTAGGTTTAGTCTGCCCAAAATGCCCTGGCATGATAGTGGCTTTCTTGTACTTTAACAAATCAAAATTATAATCACACATTGTAAACATTGCAAAGAAATAAAATATTTATCTTTAAGGGTTTACTAGCCCCTTGCTCCCATCATTATAATTGCCTCTTAGGCACACATGGCTTATGGAGAAAAAATTATTTTCTTTGGAGATAAGAGGAAATGAAGAACAAGAGCTATTAAGAAAATAGAAAAAACCATAATGGGTATGTGTAATGCAGTTATTACGTTACATAAATATTTTCTGGTGCCTAGGGGAAACAGCCTTGTCTAGGGGCATTTAAAATATTAAACAGAATACATCAACCTAGGACCAAGCATCTTTCTTCACAAAATCTAGATGGTCAGTACTTACATTAATTATCAGGAAGGGCAATTAAATTCACTTTTTAAGAAAAATGAAAGTTTCTCTTTTTAAATTAAGTAATGTATGCAGGTGAATTGTTTACTGGCCCATTGCTCTCTGCATTTTAGTCACCTTTTACGGAAGAAGAATTCTGTTCCACTTTCATATGGTGATAAGCGGAAATAAACAAGAACTAGTGAAAAAATAGAAGAAAACTCAGCGGTGGTTGTGTGTGTTTTTTTTTTTTTTTTTAACAAGTCGGCCGTCTCCCACCGAGGCAGGGTGACCCAAAAAAGAAAGAAAATCCCCAAAAAGAAAATACTTTCATCACCATTCAACACTTTCACCACACGCGCACATTATCACTGTTTTTGCAGAGGTGCTCAGAATACAACAGTTTAGAAACATACACATATAAAGATACACAACATATCCCTCTAAACTGCCAATATCCCAAACCCCGCCTTTAAAGTGCAGGCATTGTACTTCCCATTTCCAGGACTCAAGTCCGACTATATGAAAATAACCGGTTTCCCTGAATCCCTTCACTGAATATTACCCTGCTCACACTCCAACAGATTGTCAGGTCCCAAGTACCATTCGTCTCCATTCACTCCTATCTAACATGCTCACGCACGCTTGCTGGAAGTCCAAGCCCCTTGCCCACAAAACCTCCTTTACCCCCTCTCTCCAACCCTTTCGAGGACGACCCCTACCCCGCCTTCCTTCCCCTATAGATTTATATGCTTTCCATGTCATTCTACTTTGATCCATTCTCTCTAAATGACCAAACCACCTCAACAACCCCTCTTCTGCCCTCTGACTAATGCTTTTATTAACTCCACACCTTCTCCTAATTTCCACACTCCGAATTTTCTGCATAATATTTACACCACACATTGCCCTTAGACAGGACATCTCCACTGCCTCCAACCGTCTCCTCGCTGCTGCATTTACCACCCAAGCTTCACATCCATATAAGAGTGTTGGTACTACTATACTTTCATACATTCCCTTCTTTGCCTCCATAGATAACGTTTTTTGACTCCACATATACCTCAATGCACCACTCACCTTTTTTCCCTCATCAATTCTATGATTAACCTCATCCTTCATAAATCCATCCGCCGACACGTCAACTCCCAAGTATCTGAAAACATTCACTTCTTCCATTCTCCTCCTCCCCAAAGGGGGTAAATATGCTGACAAAAATGAGATCACCAGTACTCGAAGATGTTGAGAAGTTATTATTGGTGTGGATAAACGAGAAACAATTAGCAAGAGATAGTCTTATGCAGTCACTTGCACGACGATTTGGTAAAGAAATTGCCTGCAACTAGTGGTGATGAGTGAATTTAAGGCCAGCAAAGGCTGGTTTGAGAGATTTAAGAGGCGTACTGGCATACACAGTGTGATAAGGCATGGTGAGGCTGCCAGTTCGGACCAAAAAGCGGCTGAAAAATATGTGCAGGAATTCAAGGAGTACATAGAGGCTGAAGGACTGAAACCTGAACAAGTGTTCAGTTATGACGAAACAGGCCTCTTTTGGAAGAAAATGCCGAAGAGGACCTACATTACTTGAGAGGTAAAGGGACTGCCAGGACACAAGCCTATGAAAAACAGGCTGATGCTCATGTTCTGTGCTAATGCTAATGGGGATTTCAGAGTGAAGCTGTTACTAGTGTACCATTCAGAAAATCCTAGGGTGTTCAGGAAAAACAGTGTTATGAAGAGTAAATTGTGTGTGTTTTGGAAATCTAATAGTAAGGCATGGGTCACGAGGGAAATTTTCGTCGAGTGGTTCACTGAAGTGTTTGGCCCTAGTGTGAAGAATTACCTCCTGGAAAAGGAATTGGATCTCAGGTGCCTCCTAGTAATGGACAATGCACCTGCTCATCCTCCAAACTTGGATGACCTAATTTTGGAGGAGTTTGGGTTCATCACAGTAAAGTTCTTGCCCCCGAATACCACTCCCTCCTCCAGCCCATGGAGCAGCAGGTCATTTCAAACTTAAAAAAAAAAAAACTACACTAAAGCAATGTTTCAAAGGTGCTTTAATGTGACCTCAGACACTCACTTGACCCTAAGAGATTTTTGGAAAGAACACTTCAGTATCCTCCATTGCATAAGCCTTATAGGTAAGGCTTGGGAGGGAGTGACTACCAGGACTTTGAACTCTGCTTGGAGAAAATTGTGGCCAGATTGTGTCCACAAGAGGGATTTGTGGCTTACCCTGATGAGCCTATGTCAGTTGTGAAATAGATTGTGGCACTAGGGAGTTCCATGGGGTTGGATGTGAGTTTGGAGGATGTGGAAGAGTTGGTGGAAGACCACAGCGAAGAGCTCACCACTGAGGAGCTGCAAGAGCTTCAGCAGGAACAGCAACAGATTGCAGCTCAGAATCTTGCTGCAGAGGAGGAGGAAGAGAGATGGAGGAAGTTGCCTTCTTCAGAAATTAAGGAGATTTTTGAAATGTGAGGTAAGATGGAAAGATTTATGGAGAAACGTCACCCTGACAAGGCTGTTGCAAGCCATGTTGGCAACACATACAGTGACAGTCTTGGCCCATTTTAGGGAAGTGTTAAAGAAACGTCAGAAACAGAGCTCTCTGGACACTTTTTTTGCGAGACAGGACTCCAGTGACTCTGAAGCTGGTCCTAGTGGCATTAAGAGACAAAGTAGAGAAGTAACCCCAGAAAAGCACTTAGTACCTGAGGTGTTGATGGAAGGGGATTCTCCTTCCAAAGAGTAACTAATCCAATCTCCTCCTCCAGTCTTCCATACACTAAGAAGAATCGCCAATAAAGGTAAGTGTTACACTGTTAATGTTTCATTCATCATGTCCCATTGTATTGTTTAAGTACTACATCTATATTTCATGTAAAAAAAAGTTTTTTGTTTTAATACTTCTGGATGTCAGGAACGGATTAATTGTACTTACATTATTTCTTGTGGGGAAAATCGATTCGAAAATAGTCAATTTCGATAATAGTCACACTTCCAGGAACTGATTAGTTACGAAAAACGACGGACCACTGTATTATTAACCCTTTCAGGGCCGCCAGGCCTTCTCCGAAACTTGTTCTCTGGGTTACCCAAATGTCAAAAAAAAAAAAAAAAAAAAAAAAAATTCTAATGAAAAGATAGAGAATCTTTTCCCAATCATAATGACACCAAAAGTACGAAATTTGATGGAAAACTTACGGAATTATGCTCTCACATAGTTAGTGGTCTCAACGATGTTTACACATCGGCGATTTTGCCCACTTTGAGATCTATTTTCAGCCAATTCCAGTGTACTAGTCAACAAAAATCATAACTATTTCACTAGAACTCCATTCTTTCTATCGAATGAGTACAAGAATCCACCCATTTACCGATTTCAACTATCCAATAAAGTGGTCAGAATTTATCAATTTTGCCAATTTCTCACAAACTTCAAAAGATGCCAATTTCCGAATAGGGTCCAGAATAAACAAGAAAGACATTCCTGGCACTAAAATAACAAGTTCTCTGTTCGTTAGTCACATCCCCAGGCCCCTCTTATATTTCTTTGGCTTTCCACTTTGAATTTTTATTCTTACAAAAAAATAGAAGATTTACTGTTGTGCAGACTACTGCATTAGTGTAGAAATGGTATAAATAATATCGGCGCACTTGTGAAAGAATATTAGACTCACCAGTTGACGTGTATTGGACTCTTGGCATGATTTGTTTACTTTTGAACTTTGGTAAAAATTGAACATTTCTGCTACTTTGAGCTCAATTTCAAGATACTTTTCATTGTAAAACCAGTCAAAATCATCACAATTTCTGTAATATGTCTTCCATTCTATAAAATGAGACCAGGAAAACTAGAATACAACATAAATACCATACGAAAATGCAGTACAAAAGCGCTGTTTTAATTCAAAAACACGATCAAAGTTTTTTTTTTTTCTCATTACGCACTGTGTGCTGCAGGATTTTTTTTATACTGCGCACACTGACCACATAGACCCATTCTTTCATATGTAGGCCTAGCAGCTTTCTCTCACTAGATTTGAGGGCGCTAGAATTTGAGTACTAGTACGTCATGGACCCTGGTGTGTAAGCCGTACTAGTACGGCCGAAACCCTAAAAGGGTTAATAGTAGCCTTAATTTTACAACACACAACCTCCTCCTCTACATATTACATAAGACCAGTATACCTGTACCAGGTACTCACTTTAGGCCACCTGCAGATTATTACCTAAACCCACTAGTACCTTGGTACTAGTTGCTTGAAACGTATGTAAACAGTGGGGCTCCATGACACCTTCCCTTCTATGGACTTCACCTGTACTCTCCAAAACAGGCCCTCCACATACTAGGTAGGGCCTCGCAGGTAAAATCATGAGTACACACCGAATTCCAAAAAAAACTATGGCCTAAAGCTTACCCGATATATCATCCCTTACTCAAACACCAAATACCATGATGTCTTGCTCAAACCACGGCTCCCCGGTACTGACACACCCCTCTCTCCTGTCCTGAGTACTCTGACTAGGTGTAATACACATCCATTTTCAGAACAAATCCCGTCCACTGACATTAACTCTTAAACTGTTTGCTCGCTTAGCGCTCCGAACGTAGATCTAATTTTTTTTTTACATCCATTCTTATGGAGAAAATCAAGGTCAGAGCGCTACGCGCACAAACGTAAATCTACATTTGGACAGTTTAAAGGTTAATGGAGCTTTTTTTTAATACACATTTTCTACAATGCCCTGTGTAATAGTGTGTAAATATATATGCATGTACATTAGACTGGTCCAAAAAAATAAAGTTGTGAAATTGTTTGCTCCAAAAGTTTTATTTTGTTACACTGTTCCTAAGTGACATTCAGACCAATTTTCAGGAAGTTCTGTTCAATTTTAGGGGTCGAGCAAAAAGGCGTCTTTCGCCAACAGAAGAGAAACTGAAGAAATTGTATTTTTTGTTCTTCTTTCACATAGCATAGCTGCAGTTCTCTGAAAGCATAAAGACTGAATCAATAACCAGTTTTTAGGGCTTTGTTGAGTGCAAAATGATTTTTATGTGCATTGAAGAGGAGGTACCACTCGATTTAACCCTTAAACTGTCTAAACGTAGATCTACGTTGGGCTCCAAATACAGTGGTCCCTCGTTTTTCATAATTGATCCGTTCCTGGAGCCGTTACTATAAACGAAGTTTACGATTTACGAATCAATTTTCCCCATAAGAAATAATGTAAATACAATTAATCCATTCCTGACACCCAGAAGTATTAAAACAAAAAAATTTTTTACATGAAATATACATGTAGTACATAAACAATACAATGGGAAATGATAAATGAAACATTAACAGCATAACACTTACCTTTATTGGAGATTCTTCTTAATGTATGGGAGACTGGAGGAGGAGAGAGAGTGGATTGTTTATAGTTTGGAAGGGGAATCCCCTTCCATCAACACCTCAGGTACCAATTGCTTTTCTGGGGTTGCTTGCCTTCTCTGTTTCTTAATGCCACTAGGACCACCTTGAGAGTCAATGGAGTCCTGTCTCGCAAAATAACTCTGGAGAGAGCTCTGTTTCTGGCGTTTTTCTTTAACACTTCCCTAAAATGGCCCAAGACTTTGTCACTGTACATGTTGCCAATATGGCTTGCAACAACCTTGTTAGGGTGATGTTTCTCCATAAAGCTTTCCATCTTACCCCACATAGTAAAAATCTCTTTAATTTCTGAAGAAGGCACCTTCTTCCATCTCTCTTCCTCCTCCTCTGAAGCAAGATTCTGAGCTGCGATGTTTTGCTCTTCCTGCTGAAGCTCTTGCAGCTCCTCAGTGGTGAGCTCTTCATTGTGGTCTTCCACCAATTCTTCCACATCCTCCAAACTCACATCCAACCCCATGGAACTCCCCAGTGCCACAATTGACTTTACAACAGACATAGGCTCTTCAGGGTCAGTCCCAAACCCTTCAAAATCCCTCTTGTCGACACAATCTGGCCACAATTTTCTCCAGGCAGAGTTCAAAGTCCTGGTAGTCACTCCCTCCCAAGCCATACCTATAAGGGTTATGCAATGGAGGATGCTGAAGTATTCTCTCCAAAATTCCCTTAGGGTCAAGTGAGTGTCTGTGGTCACAGTCAAGCACCTGTGAAACATTGCTTTTGTGTCGAGTTTTTTAAAGTTTGCAATGACCTGCTGGCCCATGGGCTGGAGGAGAGGAGTGGTATTCGGGGGCAAGAACTTTACTGTGATGAACCCAAGCTCCTCCAAAATTAGGTCATCCAAGTTTGGAGGATGAGCAGGTGCATTGTCCATTACTAGTAGGCACTTGAGATCCAATTTCTTTTCCAGGAGATACTCCTTCACACTAGGGCCAAACACTTCATTGAACCAGTTCGACGAAAATTTCCCTCGTGACCCATGCCTTACTATTAGATTTCCAAAACACACACAATTTACTCTTCATAACATTGTTTTTCCTGAACACCCTGGGATTTTCTGAATGGTACACTAGTAATGGCTTCACTTTGAAATCCCCACTAGCATTAGCACAGAACTTTAGCATCAGCCTGTTTTTCATAGGCTTGTGTCCTGGCATTGCCTTTTCCTCTTGTGTAATGAAGGTCCTCTTTGGCATTTTTTTCCAAAAGAGGCCTGTTTCGTCACAATTGAACACTTGTTCAGGTTTCAGTCCTTCAGCCTCTATGTACTCCTGGAATTCATGCACATATTTTTCAGCCGCCTTGTGGTCCGAACTGGCAGCCTCACCATGCCTTACCACACTGTGTATGCCAGTACGGTTCTTAAATCTCTCAAACCAGCCTTTGCTGGCCTTAAATTCACTAACATCACCACTATTTGCAGGCAATTTCTTTACTAAATCTTCATGCAACTGCCTAGCCTTTTCACAAATAATCGAAGTCATAAGAGTATCTCCTGCTAATTGTTTCTCATTTATCCACACCAATAATAACTTCTCAACCTCTTCCAGTACTGGTGATCTCATTTTTGTCAGCATAGTTACTCCCTTTGCAACAACAGCGTCCTTGATTTCCTTTTTCTTCCTTTTTTTTCTTAAATTCAGTCGTATTTCTCACCTTCTTTACCACA